TAATAGTGTCATTGTTAAGGCTGTGCTTGCTTTGAAAATGATTTGGAAGAAGTCTTTTGAAAACTCAAGAAGAGCACTCTGTGCTAGTCAGAACACATGTCTTTTTCAGGTTTCTGGGTGAGCCTGAGAAGATTTCAAATGACCAAGCAGAGAAAGATGAAAACAAAACACACAGGCCAACAGATTGTGTGACTTCAGCAAACACAAACAGCCTCTAATTAAATGTCTGTCTGTCTGTCTGTCTGTATATAAAAAAATCTGTAAGAGGCAAAGGAGGCTTTCTTTTAAGCTATTCAGGCTAGGATTCCTGCTAAGCTTTTCCCCATCATTCATTCCCTAATGGCAATCTCTAGTGGAGAAGATTCTGTCTCCCAACTCTTTTCTTTCAGCTGAGGGTTTGAAAGAATTTTTCTCTAATTTGGTGAACATTGCTTATTCCTTCCCTTCTACTGGTTTTCCTCTGCCAAATTATTTCTCTTCTATTTCCTCTATATTTGAACGTATTCTATTCCGGGAGGAAGAGATTTAACAAACCATGAAGGGTTTCCCCTATGCTAACTCCCCGGCTGATCCTATTCTCTTCTTCCTTGCAAACTCTTCTTTATTCACTGCCAATTTCCCAGAGTCTTTTAAACTAGTCCTTTTTCATCCTTTGTTTTACCCATTCAGGGCTTGAAACATGATACTTTTTTTCTACAGGTGTGATTCTCGGCCTGTCCCAGATGTCAGATGGACTCTGATGGATTTTGTTGGGCTCCTGGGGAGTTTCCCAGCAGGCAGGTGGTTCTGTTGAATGCCTGGTTGATCTCTACCAACAGAGGCATCTTAGCTTCTTGAGGTGAGTGGTCCCAAGTGGTTTCTTTCTGTGGGTTGATCCCTGAAGGCTCCTAGATTAACTGTGGAGCTCCAGGAGATGAAGCAGCCCAGATCACCAGTGGAGAAAAAGGGGACTTGATCAAGCATGGGGAAGAGCTCACGTTCAACACCATGGCAATGAGGGGAGCAAAGCATCAATATCTCTCTCCCCTTATTACAGTGGAAAGCTATTGGTCAGTGGCCTTGTTTAGGGTGTCCAATTTTCTTTTGGGAACAGGTAAGCTGGTACATCTGCCAGGCCACTGTTACTGGTTTTCATAGTATAACATTAATAACATAAATTATATTTTGAAAAATACATGTGGATGATCTAGGAGAACCTGCTAGCGGTCCCCCACTTTTACATTCCACAAGTGAGGGGCCACTAGCAGGTTCTTACAGGACACCTATTTCAGGCAGATTGAGATGGGTTGAAGAAGATAGTCCTGGAATACCTCAGAGCCAAGCCACGCAAGACTTCGAAGGTCAAAATTTGCACTTGAATTGCACTTGGAAGCCAATAGGAAGTCAGTACAGGGACTAAAACACAGGTGTAATGTGCTTATATCCGCAGATATTTGCCAGCAGCCAGGCTGTTGCATTCTGCACTGGCTCAATTCTGGACTTGATAATTTTTGAAGGTAGCCCCAGGTAGAGCAAATTGCAGTAGCCCAGGCAAGTGGAAACAAGGATATGAGTTGTTGTTATTATATTTGTCTTTTGGCCTGTAGATGCTGATGAAGTTGATAAGGTTCTCACTGGCATGACCTCTGCTATCTCATGGTTAAATCCTTGTCCCCTGTGACTTCAGTGTAAGGGTAGAGGGTGTGTGACAATCTGGATCTTGAAGGTGGTCAATACCTCATTGTGAGAAAAGGTGATGACAACAGCCTTGAAAGGGGCTGTAGAGTGTCATTTTGTTAAGAGACCCTTCCTTAATCCAGCTATTCTTAACAACTATTACCCAGTTTCCAACCTCCCCTTTTTAAGGAAAGTTGTTGAGATAACTGCAGTGTCCTAGATGAAGCAGATTATCTGGACCTCTTGAGTCAGCATTCAGCCCTGGATATGGGATAGGAATGGCATTCATTGCCATTGGGCAGTGGGATGACCTTTTTCAGGAACTAGATAGGGAGACTGTGCCCTCCTAGTCCAATTATATCTCTTGCAGCCTTTCATACCATTTATGATTGAATCCTTTTAGAATTGGAGGGACCATTTATAGTTGTTCTGTTTCCTCCTTAGTGCATTGTTGGGGAGAGGTTGCCTCCTTCCTTCAGCTGGCAGAAAGGGAAGTGTGGCTACTTCCTTGCAGGATACTGTAGGGCTCAGACCTCTCCTCTTTGTATTTTAACCTATACATGAAGCCACTGGAAGAAGTCATCTGTAGGTGCAGGTTATGGTATACTCAGTATGCTAACGATACACCAATTGCACATTATTACACTGGGCATGATGGAGATGTTGTTCAAATCTTAAATTAGTGTCTGGGGAATGTTAGGGTCTGGATGGGACAAAACAGGCTAAATTTGAACATAAGCAAGAAAGTGTTGATGTATGTTCTTCAATGTTCTCAATTAACCCCAATGTTCCCTCTTGAGGGGGAGGCATTATCCCTGAGGAGCAGGTCTATGGTTTGGTGGGACCTTCTGGACTCATGACATCTAGCGTATGCTGTGGGTTGTGCATTGGCTTTCAATAGGTGTCCAGGTACAATTCAAAGCACTGGTTTTAATCTATAAAGCTAAGTGCTTAGATTATAGGACTGTCTTTTCCACCTGGAATCAACCCATCCAATCTGCTGATGATTCCTCATTTTAGTGAAGTGCAGGAGATTGAGGCCCAAAGATATTGTTTCTCAGTGGTAGATCCTATTTGGGGTTTTTTTTGGGGGGGGGAGGCAGGGACAGCACCCCTCTAGCAGTTGGATTTACTAGCTTCTTCAATGATAGCTTTCCAAAAGTTGGTTAAAGCAGAGCCTTTGTGAAGTGTGCTGGGGAAATTATTATGATGGTGTTTAGTTGTATGGTTCCATCTTGAACTTTGAATTGTTACTTTAATGTTTGCTTATTAAGGATTTTTAAATAATTTTATATATGTGATTATATTATTGTTAACTTCTGGAAGTCCCTATAAACTCATATCAATCAGTTATCAATAACATTGGGACTACATCTGTTCTCTTTCACTCAGAACTTTGGTGAAGCAAACTAGTTGTTACAGTTGAGATTACTGGAACATAGCTTAATTTAAAAAAATAATAAATCCATTTCTAGAAATTGAGACAGAGCAAAATGCTGCCACAGTTAATCAGACATGATAATATTTCTGTATTACCTGTCCTGCTTTTGCATTCTCGCAAACAAAAGTTTCATAGAACTTGGCAAATTCTGGGGCATGATCATTTATATCTAAAATCCGAATGAAGATGGGAGTCTGAGTACTTTGTTTTGGATTGCCTGAAACAAAACGGACAAGATGGAATTTGATCACAATATTATAAAACTTCTTTTTCTGAGATTCAAGGATAGGTGTCAATGCCTATGTTTTAAGCATGACACAACTCAAAATATGCTTTAGAAATTTCATTCTGAAATAATATAATACCAAAAAAAAAAAAAAGTATTCCATGAATTAGGAGCACTTTCATGGCCATCTACAGAGGGGTACAAGGGAGCAAATGATGAAATATGCCTCATGACATCTTGATACAAACTCCATTTTTCTTGCATCAAGAGTTTCATGCAAGTCGGTAGGTGGCTTGCATTATGATATCATAATGATGCTCTGTCATTTTGTCAAAAGTTTCATTTGCTACAGTTCCTTTTGGGGACCTCAAAATATTTCTTTGGCAGAAGGAGAGAGAATATAGATTCAGTGGAATCCTATATATCTCTATTCAGAAATTTAAGTTTTCAGTTGAATGCCTTGCCAACTATACTCATTTCTTTAGCATAGATATGACTAAAAAGAACAACACTAACGTTTTGCCCTTTGGTTGTCAAGGATCTGTGTGTAATTAAGACATTCCTAAAGATATGCCACCAACATCAGCATTTCATATTGAAGCTGAAATCCAGCACACTTTCCACTGAATATATTGGACTTTCTTTCAAATAAACTTGAATAGGGACCAGGGTCTGTCACCACATTTTAGAAATGCAGTAGCTTTCAAGCTTTCACTCACACAGATTAGAGATATCTAATAACTTTCACACAGACATACACTGTGCAGAACATGTACTTTGCAAGCAAAAGATCTCTGGTTCAGTCTTTGGTATCTTCGGGCCAGATGAGTAAAACTCCTGCTTGAAACTGTGGGCAGCTGCTTGTAATAAGTACGAGAAACTGTCTGCTGAGTTTAAAGCCGATGGGTGGGACATTCTGGTGACATGTTGAGAAACCATGCAAAACTGCTCACCATGTTCGCCACAATAATTTGGCCAAGCAAAATCTTTAGGTGTTCTCTAATTATCACTGACCAGTAAAAGTCTGGTTAAAGCAATTTAAACCTAGCTGAAAACCATTTCCTTTTTTTTTTTTCTGACCAGATTTTAAGGATATGTCATGTATTCTCACTTTCCTTATTATTATTTTTTTAAAATAACATTTGCCCGATTGTTAGGAAAAGCCAGAAAAATTGCACTGGAAAACTAACAAAAAATAAACAAATCTAGCATATCTTGGAGAAAAACTAGACAAAATAAAGAGTTCGTTTTCTGTAGTTCTTGGCTACCATCTAGTTGTAGCCGGTTTATCTTCTATCTTCAGTTTGCATTTAAATTGCATCGATATCTTTTTCATAAGTATTGTATTATAAATGTATTCCTAAAAAAAATATGTAAGAATTATGGGTGTCATGTTGTGCAGGCAAAACAAAAAACAACAACAACCAAAAAACACCCTTAGAAATGTGCATCTTCTCAGAAATAAACCCCACTGAATTTAGCGGAACGTACATTTGGTTGAGGACTTGCTGGGTATAAAGAAATATATCATATAAATAATAATGTGTGCAAAAAAATTCAGCTTTCAACATGTGATTCCCTTTCTCTTCCTTTCAAACTACTTTATAGTGTACATACAACTTACTAATTTCAGTTGCAATGACGGTGAGGTTGTGCCATGGGGCTGCTTCTCGATCAAGGTTCTTTGAGACAAATATGGAACCATTTCCTGAGTAGATGTTGAATATTCTATCCAAATCAGTGTGCCGATCCAAAGAATATCTACCAAATGATAAAACAAATCTTACTATCTTCTGTTACAATGCTGATTTTGATTTTTGCTTGTTTTACAAGAAGCTTAAGATACTGTACAGCTACAAAAGTTCACTTAGACTAGCGACATGATTCATTTAACATTACAGAGTTAGCAATGGGTATTGTTCCCTTTTTTAATTAAAGAAATAAAAATAAAATGTATTTATTGACTGATTTACAGAAATTTATTTACTGCTCAGCTCAAATGACTCTTGGCATTTTTCCTGGAACAAACAAGAAATACCGGAAAATGCGAGGAAATACTGTACAAGGAAAATCAACATTGACATCTGATGCTTCTTTTCATTTTCATGTACTAGTCGAATCTACATTGCCACAGAATAGCAAAAGAGAAAGAACTCAAGCATTTTGAAAACCTAAATCTTCTCCGGGAGATATACATGTGTGAGCAGAATATTGTCAGAGAAGGAATCTCCTGTTAAGACCTGCTCTTATTACTTGCTTGGAAAAATGACAAGTGACTTTTCTAATCACAGTCTTAAAGGAACAGATCCTCCTTCGGCAGTGAAAATGCTCCTGATGTTTCTGATTATAAAATACTTTCAAAAAGTATGACCAGTTTTGCAGATTAAAAAAAATATATATATTGTAAAGGGCAATTTATATATTTCAGTTTTTCACAGGATTTCATTCAGAAAGTATATAATCTGGTACGTATAATACAAAATAAAGGGTTGCAATTTTTTCTGATACTATTGTTGTTGTTTCTATGTGCTTTAAGGCATTCTGTTGTGTTTGTACTCTTACACAGCCAGGTCAACATACCATATGCATATGCGATGTTGTTATGGATACCACTACTGATATTGCCATTAGGTGTCAGAAGTGTGCCAGAGTCTAGCTTAGGACATATGCTTGTATTTTTCATGTAGTGCCACGTATAGGATTCTAAGCTAAGAAAGATACCTGAATGGTGTGATTCGCAGAAGGATTGCTACTAAGCCTTGCATAAATCTTTCTCCCATCCTCATTTACCTCAAACCTGTTGTAATGGCAAGTTTCCAAACTTGTTGTAATGGCAAGATATGTTGTTGTTGTTGTTGCTGTTCAGTCATT